CTATTTATATTATTATTTTTTTATATATATATAACTTGAATATTTAGCAGAATAAAGAGATTTTTTAAGCAACGGATTTTACAATATACATTACAATAATTACTCAAAAGACTCGATCAAAGATGTAAAGATGTTATACCTAAAATTTTGTACATAATTATAATAGGTTAATTAATTTTGATTTTCGGATCAAGTTCTCATCAAGTAAAAACAACGTGAAAATCACAAATAATGTCAGATATAAAGTTCATGTGTTCAGATTCTAAGAGCTTGGTAAGTCAGAAATAATTTATAATCCGATTAAAATTTTATTTTCAAAGGAGTTTAAAAAGAAAACAATTTTTGCTTTTTGATCAGAAATCAGCTCAAAAAATGTCTATTGCCTTGAAATTTCGAGATATTTTTCTATTAACTAATAATAAGTAGACCTCTCCGAGCAATCACAAATTTTATTCCTTTTTAATATACGAACTTGATTGCTAGCTATGATGTAAAAAAAGGTATTGCTCTCTTGAATAAGTCTATGGTTTTCGAATTTTACTCATTTGCGACGGCGGTATTTCTTGGCTGTTTTTTGGGACTATCGTCAAAATATACATAGCTTCCTGATCCCCCCCCCCCAATTTATCATGTAATCTTTTCGAAATTTTGTCGACTCCAACTATTTTGAGGGTCAGGAATCTAAACATGTAAAGAAAAATATCTCTGTGTTTATTCAGAGAAAGTACGTTTTTGTGTCTGATTTTGTAATTTAATTAATAGTTAGCTCTAATTGATTAATATATTTGAATTTTCCCCCAGAAACCATTAAGATAGACATTTAATACGTGAAAATCTGATCATCAAAAGTAAAGTTATTCAAGGTGATAAAAAAACGAACCATACTGAATAACTTTTTATCTAATGACCAGATGTTCACGTCCTAGTACTAAATTTTCATTGTTCAAAGGGGTGACCTCAAATTTACTAATTAATTAGTGCAGACAATGCTCGAAGTTATGAAATCAGACTCAAAACGTACTTTCTCTGAGGAAACATACCTTTTTTTGACGGATTCGGAATTCTAATCACCAAAATTTAGGGGATAGTCACAATCTGAGAAATATGGTCTCAATTTGGGCAGGAGTGCGGTTCAAGGCTTAAGAGTCCTTAATGTTAATATTACTTTTTGCGTATTTCACCATGTATGGAGAACTTTTCAAGCGAATGAAAAAATGCTTGCACAAAATTATAAAATTCATTTATCCAAAGATAATTCCATGCAAAAAGTATTTAGTAAATATTTATTTTTGATTTTTTTATTTAATAATAGATTAAATTTTGAAGAATGTAATTTTATGTTGGTTTAATTAGCAAAATTGATTTAATATTTCATGAGAAATTGATTTTGAATAGAAAGTTATTTCTTGTGCCTGATTCCGTGACTTAAAGTATCGTTTGCGCTAATTAATTAGCATATTTGAAGAGCTTAGTGGAGGAACCGGCTGACAAGGGAAACTAGGGAAGTGTGACTCGCCAATTTTGAAATAAACTAGTGGGATGTATGCAGGTGACGAACCTCCTAATGTT